CCTTGTGGGATAAGACAGCGATCTGGTCTCTGAGAGAAAAAACCCTGGCAATCTCTTTAGCGACAAGTCAATCTTTCCTCTAGAGATGCAACCATGAGTGCCCCAACGTAATCAGTCGGGTAGTGTGGCACACAACAATCCAACTGAAGTTCAAAGAGGGCCTTGGCATTATCTACCCAACTACTCAAATCACAACACTTTCCCTTCAATAACTAAAGGGACTCCTGTTTGCTCCCAACCTTCCCTGACGACCTTTGGCCTCGGTGGGCTGGCCCCTCCTGTGCCCACCGAAGCCAGCCCCACTACGTGGTTAGAGAAGCGATACTGGCCCCTCACCAGGAAACCGCCACCCCCATCGTTGACAGGTCGCCAAGTGTCGAGACAGGATCTCATAAACAATGCCTCTTCTACCACTTTACGCCAAGCCTGGTGCCAACTCCCCCTGCCCAAAAAAGTCTCCCTCCTCTTGTTGGGAAGAGGTATACCAACAACCTATGTGTCACCCGCGGCCACGGGGTCGATCCCCGCCGGCGGCCGAGATATCGGCCGTGGCCGCAGGACTTCAGGGATTTCCCCCCTCTGAAAAAATGAGAGGAAAAAACAAATAAAAAATGGGGGTTATAGAGTGTTTCTGGAACCCTACAACCCCATATATATATTTTCTCCCAAACCGCTTACTTTTTCGTATTTAAAAACAAAAAACAAAAACTGCAAAAAAGAAAAAACAAGAAAAAAGAACAAAAAAGGTTTTTTTTTTTTTTTTGGTGTGTGTGTGTGTGTGTGTGTGTGTGTGTGTGTGTGTGTGTGTGCGGGGTGAGGGGCAACCTCTCCCCCACCAATCAATCAATCAATCAATTGAAAGAAAAAAAAAAAAAAGTGAAAAGAAATTGAAAAAAAGAAAGTGAAAAGAAAAAAGTGTGTGTTTTGTCATGTGTGTGTGTGTGTGTGTGTGTGTGTGTGTGTGTGTGTGTTTGGTCACGTGTGTGTGCGTTTTGTCATGTGTGTGTGTGTTGTTTTAAAATACCCCAGGAGCATGGTCCCATTAGCAGTCGGATAGGAGTGTGGCCGAGCCAGTGTGACACTGAGTGGCAGCGGGCTGACAGGTTCATTACGAATTTCTGGGCTGAGATAACAGGAGAAAGGCAAAAAAAAAAAAAAGAGACCTCGCACCTGAAATCACAGCAGAGTGCTTCCCAGCCATCAGATCACAAATGATCTGATGGTGGTGGTTGCAACAACAGTGCAGAAAGTAACTGCCACATTTTCTGGAATAACTCGACTTCTGTCAGCAGTGATCCTGACGCCCTCCATATACTCCGTGATTGGAGGAGGGCTCCACCCAATGGGATAATTGCACACCAGCAAGCAAAATACTGAAAATCTTCTATACAGTGGGCCTATGGCCGACCCCACTCTCTTTTGGGGTTGGCCATACCCCCAACAGATTGAAAACATTTTGGCGGGAAGCTTCCTTTGCACGGACATGCCCAGTGTTACGGAGAGGAGGAGGGGAACCAAGATCTCCTTACTTTTTCGGGTAATACATGTAAAATACTGACCATGGGATCACGAGTACTGCGCGGCAGGATTTGGGTCACTCAACTGCCACACAAACTCTTTTCTATCCTATTCGGTTGCTAGTGGGACCATGCTCCAGATTCTCTCTCTCATTCTCTCACAAATCATCACCATCCATAACGCAAAATTTTAGATAAGCAATATAATAGAAAATGCAAGGTTGGCCACGTTTGTGTGGTTCAGCGCCAAGTGCCCACACACCCGTCTGCCGCCAAAGCGGCACACTTGCACATATACATATGTATGCATATATATTTCAAACCATAAGCAGATGGAGGGCAGAAGGCAACTCACCTAAGATGGAAGACTACTCCAGCAAGAAGGCACCCACCCGACCCCCTCAAAGGTCCGAAAAAACTTGGAGAGCCTTCCACATTGGCCGACAAAACCAAAAACAAACAAATATAACAGCATTGGCATTTCCGACATTCATCTCAAACTACACATGCGCATCACGGCCAAAGAGGAGGAAGAACATATAACACAACTTACCTAAGACACTAACCCAGGAAGAACGCACCGACCCCCCCTCCTAAGGGTCCGGAAAAAACTGGGGGGGAAGGGGGTGGAAGGCACCAAGGATGAGTGAAAACCGTGATGGGAAGGGGTGAAGGGGGTGGAAGGCACCAAGGATGAGTGAAAGGGGGGTGTGGGGGGAGGCATTTTTTCAGGTCGCCCTGGGCCAGTGGGTCAGGTGACCCAAGCCAAGGCTCCACCCGGCTGTCACGCACCCGACGGATGACCAAGAGAGAGCACATGTTGACCTGCCCATGACCCAGATATGCCCCCTAGCTGCAGGCACCCATCACCCACCCAAGAAGGCATAGGTAAGCCCAAGCCCAACCCCATTACCTAGTGGGTCGGCCGGGGCAGGTGGGTGCCGCTGTGGCCACCTGCTGCCCCACCTCTGCAGGGTGGCAATTTCTTTCAGGGGATAGCGTTGGGTTAGTCTTCTTCTCCCTGTCTTAGGAATCCATTCCTTGACGTAAACCAAAAAAAAGAAAAAAGAAAAAAGAAAAAACAGGAACAGGTCAAACATACGGGTAGGACTCGTAGGAGGGTTTGTTCGGGTTAGGGTCCGAACGCAGACCTGGCTGTCCCTAGCCAACTGATCACGACATATTCCGTTTGGTGACTTTGGTCGGCAATTTTATAACCCAGTTCACTTACAGTGCTTTCGTTTCTTCTTTTCGATTGGGAAATATTGCAAGTCTTTTTTTTTTTTTTTTTTTTTTTTTTTTTTTTTTTAACAAAAGCACGGGCAACAACAGATAGGAGTGATGATAAGAGCATGCACTCCTAGCTGTCATGACACCATTCTATTGGTGGGGAGCTTCATACTGCCAGTCTATTTTTAGACTATTTTTCTGTATCGGGGTCGCCAGCCCAGAGGTAAGCTCTTGCTTTCTTGTCGAGTCCAGAAATGGTGCACTCGGGAATTACTCCGATGGACACACTGTGTACCATATCATGGAGAAGATCGAGGTGTTGATCCTTAATGCTCTAACCAACAGGGATGTGCATGTCTGAACCCATTCACACTTCTTCTTTTTTCCCCAAACAATAGACTCAGCCTACTAGAGAGGGTGATATAAGCATCTCCCTCTAGTGGACCGAAAAGCGCTGATCGCTCCACTATATTGCTAGGCAGCAGCACCTGCTGGAAACTGGATCCACCGTCCCATATACATTTGGGATCCCTCTACCACCCCCCTGGGCCGCCAGATGGGCACAAAGTACCTCTGACTGTATCATTTCAATCATTTGCCCTTTTTTTACTTTTAAAAAAAAATAAAATAAATTAACACGCCCCTGTCAGTGTTAGTGGTGCTGATGTCATTTTAATTGAGTTGGTTAGAATGTTCTGGGCCCATCCAGTGGGTGGGCTGGTCCGTCCCTTGATACCTGGTAGAGATAATCTCCAGTCTTTTTTTTCTTTAGTATCACTATGTTCACCGGGCCTTAGCAGCCACCACCCTTTCTTTTGCCTCTTCCACTTGTTCCCCTTCATTTTCTCCTTCATCGTCTCATTTTCCGCCAGCTCCTGGAAAACTCTTCGACGGATGTTTCTTTTCAGACGGATTTTTTTTCCACCAGTCACAGAGAGAAACCTGTTCTCCAACCAAACAAAGCATAGCTCCCAGCTCAGTTGGTACACCCATGAACTGTTGAATTCCACAGACCAAAGTTCAAATCGTGACGGAAATTTAGTTGTGTTTATTGAAGAAGAAGGGGAAAAAAACTGTTCTCCAGAACTGCGAACAGCGGTGATTCCACATGCGGAAGATTGAACAAATACGAAAAAAAGGAAACAGAGCCTTCTAAAGGCTCTTAGGCCCCCGAAGGCTGGGCTGGTCATTCTCATTTACAATTTTACATATCCTTCGACCAGAGAGCCCTAAGAGACTCGTTGAGTCAGGAATCGCGATAACCATAAGGTTTAATCAAGAAGGAAAGGTGTGGGATGGAAGACCGCCGGATAGGCATAGCAAGGAGTGAATTAAGTCGTTTGGCAGATACTTTGCGTTGACAGATTGAGAGCTCCTTGCAAAAAAGAAAAAAGGAAAAAAAAAAAAGGAAAAAAAAAAAAAGAAAAAAAAAGACAACGGCAACCAGACACTGGCACAATGTCACCTGAAACACTTTTAACGGGCAAAACAAGAACATAGTGATAATTGGGGGGTAAGGAGTCCCCCCTGCGCACCAACCGGTGTGTTTTCCTTTTCGGCTGGCTCCGCCACGCTGTCAGTCGTTTAGCTCCAGCCCCAAAGTTGTCGTCCATTCACCACAACACTGCGTCGGAGAAAATGGCTGGGAAAAGTACCGGTGGTTCAAAGATTTTTCATGATGCTTTTGTGCAAATTTGTGGGCCTTCTGCCTCTGCACAGGACAATTATAACGGGGACTGGAAAACAGTGGAAAGTAAGAGGGGAAGAGAATGAACAGCGAAACCAGGAGGCAAAAGCAGGGAACACTCACGCTAACACAAGCTTTGATTATTGGCTAGGCTGTTTTTCCAGTCGCCCGGGCCAGGCATGACCCCAGGGCAGGTTCCGGGCAGCCCCAGCGCAAAAAAAAAAAACAGAAACAGAAAAAAAATCAAAATATTCCGGGGGAAAAAATGTTGTGCAGAATTGCAATACAAACGACTTTTGGCTGAGGGTCACATCAGAATCCATCACATGACCGGAGATAGAAAAGAAAATAACAGAACCACATTAAGGTACCCCGCTTAAACCCCTTTAGCCCCTTCAAAGCAAATGTAACCCCCCCCCTCCTCTTCTCGACAGCCAACTCGCAAAATATGAAATGAGCCCTGATTTGGGGTCCTCTGGGAGAGCGCAGAAAACCAGGTGAGACAACACTAATAAGGCCCAAGATGCTCCAATCAATACACGTTCTTCTCATGGAGAGACCCTTTTCTTTTTCCAAGGCTTGACATAAATTGGAAGCATTCACAAAAAGAGTGCAAAAGAACACATTCATACAAGATGCCTCTAAGATAGAAACCACAACATGTTCCTACAAGAATGCCTTCGCGCTAATCAAGGTGGGGGGGGGGGGGGGAGAGAAGGGAAAAAAAAAAAGAGAATAGACCTAGGGAAAGAATCCCTGCAACATCAGGCCAGTTGGGAAATTCCCCTCTGCTAGCACACTCCGATCGCCCACAGCAATCAAATCCTCCTACCTTCACATTCAGGTCAGGTATGCACACACCTCACTACCGACACTTCCATCAATCACAACCCATCCTCATTTTTACTGTATCGGGCCAGAAACATACCTTGTATACGTTCATTTTCAGGGTGCATTATGTTCGGGGGAAGACGGTAGGTAGCTCCATCTTATAGAGCTAGTCACCCACCACCTGCCCTGCACCAGCTCCACCAATTTTTGTCATCAGCAGCAAATCCACTTCAGGTGAATGACACATTCCTTTGCCAGTCATAACAGGTAACGAGAGGAGCACATTCTCGTCTCAATGCCGATATGTGAATGTCACGAGCGACAAACCGAACCCCGGACTCGGATCTGCCTCCAATTCCTTCCTCCTTTCTAGAATCATCGACCTGCCGGGTTCCGAGGCAATAACAGGATGACAATTCTGAACTACGGAGCAATTTTGCAGTTATGCCCAGCCACTGGAAAGAACCGCAACCGCTGGAACCACAGGACAGTCCGATCTCAATCCGTCGGCGATGCCCTTTCTCCAGTCGCAGCACCAGCCAACCCCCGAAAGAACCCGATTCCATAGTTATCTGCATCAATTACGCGTGCTCACATGCCAATACACAAACCTCCAGCAAGTCTCTCTATCATTTGCACCTACATACTCCTCACACTGCGACTTCTGAAGGGCACCGTACCCAAAGGTCCCACCAGCCAACACCCCAGAACGAACCCGATTGTGTAGTTCTCTGCATCAACTCGTTTGCATGCCAGTGCGCACATACCTCCAGCAGCAAGTCTTTTCATCATCCCCAACTCCATATTCATCACACGACGGCTTCTCGTATGACCACCTCCTTCCCTCAAAAGACCACCATCCTCATTGCCCCAGACTGAGGAGGGAGATGCCGCGAACGTTCCCTTCCCTCGCGCCTTCTCCATTCACGACCCTTCCTTCGTACCTACAACCTGCCCAGCGTGCGCAATAACCCTTGGTATGGTAGTTGATCACATGTGGGAGTGTAAGTCCGCACAAGCTACGGTCAGGTCACTACCCGACATCATTTCTCACAGACCGTGAGATCCGGTCTTTTCAGGGTCTAACCTAGCAACCGGGATCGACCGTTGGAACTGACGGTAACGTTGTGTTAGGAGGAAGGGTCAGTACTTTTCACCTCACAGCTATTGGTCCTCCACACTGCGACCGGCACCTGCCTTCCTTCACCTCCTCGGTTGCTTGCCCGGCGCCAAAGCAGGGAAAGTATGGCCCTCTCCTGCAAGAAGCTCCGACTTCTTCAGCGAGTGGCCAAACAATGCTGGCATGATAACTACACTACGGCCGCGCTCCTCCAGTGCGTTTGACAACCTCGTCGGAAACAATCACCACGCGCGTTCATTGCATTCGTCTCTGCCCACAGAGCACAGCCAAGGACTTCCGGTGCAACCTACACCTCATCAATCTGCCCGCACAAACCCGGCTGAGCACTCCTGGCAGAACTGCGAACGCTTCAGGGAGGGCTGCCCCGGCGCTTCTTCACCTGAATCATGAATGGCAGGCTGTGAAGGGACGGTGTTCAAAGACGCCTTGCACTGTTCGCCAGGAGTTCGGCCAACTCAAATCTCTAAGGCCCCACCATCCACAGAAGACGCGGCCAGGCATGCCAACCAACCCCAAACGAGCAACGATTTCAGGCATGCCTCTGCTCTTTTCCCCATCGTCAGGGAGAGAATGCGTCCAGCTTACACTCTCAAGGGGTCAACCAGGATCGGAGGCCCCATGCTGACAGCCTGACACACCCTATAGCAACCGCTGAGGATTTTTCC